TAAACGCGACGCCTGACACCAGCCTGTCTATCTCCATTGACCGATCTTCTCGCCGTCGAAAAGGGCCTGTGTGTATGACTTTCGTGTAATCCAACTACCCGGGTTCCAAAGAGCGTTACCGGGACTAGATTAGGAGAAAGGTAGGAATTAGGCAGTCCGGCCGGTTCAGCGGATTTACGTGGCATGTGGAAACCGTGTTACTCTTACGAACACGCTATCGTGCATTCCGCGTGTACGTACACGGGCTGGGAAAGAGGACTGGAAGAGAGGGATACGAGTTCCGTGCCCAGAACTGTGATTACATGGTTACTAACCCTTACGTCTTCATCTAGCAGAGGTTCTCCACCCACGTGTACCATAATGCACTCTGATAGCGTGTAATAGAGTTGCGCCACTTTCTGGATTCGTTCGTTGGTCTCGCTCGCTTGCCCGTTTGCCGACCACCCGGTAATATGAACGTCACGTTGCGAACAGGACGACGTTTGCATCGCGTATGAGACGTTCTACTCCTCCTCCTCCTCTTCCCCCCCCCCCCCCCCCCCCCCCCCCCCCCTTCACCTTCCCGTGTTCATGTGATTCCATTGCCTGTGAACGACAGATTGCCAACCGGAAAACATCCCCTTTCAATTCGCCAGCCCTTTCTTTCTTTTCAGTTTGATGGATGATTTAAAAGGGTTTCTCTGTTGGAACGTGGTCCAGGGAATTGATACTTTATAGGTATCCGGGCTGTTTAAAGTTCGGACGTGTGTGTTATTTCGTTACCTTCCCACTTGGAGTTTCGAACGACATTTGAACGGAAGCACGCTTGTTTCACGCTTCTGCCGGGAATTTTGAGCCAGCGCCAGAATTGTTTTAGTTTCTGTAACGAATTATCTTACTATCTTCTGTAGATGATGGGAAATTTACTTGGGATCTTTAGAGATATCGATTATATCTGTAGGAAGGAAGAGAAAAGTGACAAAGGGATGGTAAGAAGCTCCTCCTTTGTATTTCTTTTTTTTTTTTTTTTTTTTTTTTTGCTTAGTCTAGGATATTATCAGCAACGTGCTGGTACCTATCCAATCTCCCTCGTTACGAAAATGCTCTGCTCTCTTGTTGCTGGAATTGCTTGACACCGTGATATTCGAAATTCGATATCCGAAAAAATTTCCTTTCGTAAAGACTTTCTATTCAATATGACAAATCCTTGATGAAATTGATGAAAGTATTGAAATTACAAATGAAATGATTATTAAGAAAATTATATAATTTGGAAAGTAGAATAATTTTATTATTGAATAATTATTATCATAATTTTCAAAATTTTTTATCATTAATGTAAAAAATTTAAATTAGAAGAAAACAATATAATTATAATAATAAATGTGTATATTATAAAATAATACTATATATAAATATTAGAAAAAAGCAATATAATTATAATAATAAATATGTATGCTATAAAGTAATAAAATTTAATTTTTCACAATTCTTCGTAAATTAATCAAACAAGTAAACTATGAAAATGGAATTATTGTTCCTCTAATCGCGACAATTAAAATTATATATAAAAATAATAACGATAATAGTTTAATCAAATAAATATTAGAAAAAAGCAATATAATTATAATAATAAATATGTATACTATAAAATAGTACTATATAAATATGTATGCTATAAAATAATAAAATTCAAGTTCATTTTTCACGATTCTTCGTAAATTAATCAAACAAGTAAACTATGAAAATGGAATTATTGTTCCTCTAATTAAATCGCGACAATTAAAATTATATACAAAAGTAATAGCGATGATGGTTTAATTAAATAAATATTAATTGATATTAATCGTGACCGAAGCGTTAGCAACTAATTTCCACCAGTTTCCCAGAAAAAAGTGCTTCGCGATAAAATAACAATTTTATCATAATTTTATTCGTTATCATTTATATAATGATTTTTCGAATTACGAGCCACCGCTTGTTAAATGATAAATGCGGCAACGATCATCGGGGAGTTAACGAAGATGCGTTAAAATCAAAGTTATTCTGATAGTCGCTAATAGAGTTGGCGAGATTCGCGGAGCAGCGCACGCTCGGGCGATGATGCATGTCACGTTGCAAAAGTTCGGCAACAAGGTTTGCATTGCATACGAGTTACGTGTGCCCCGTGTCGTCGCATCAACGAACTTGCCGGCAAAGTCAAGAGTCGTCGGCATATTCGCTATAAGTTTTCCGCGTCGACGTCGGGAATTGGAGGGGAGGGGAGGGTGCGAGTTTCGAGGAAGAAACGCGAAATGGCAAACTTGCCGAGGTGATCGCTGCGACAGAAACAGCGCCGATAACGCTTCCCGTGGATCGCTTCGCGCGGATTCTCGTCGATTGTTAGACGCTTCCCAACGAGCTTCTCGCTTGACAGCCAATCGAAAGCGCGAAACGCTTACCTCATGGCTCGTTGTTGTTCAATTCTCCAGCCGACCACGTCGAAAACAGAGAGAAAAGTGAAAGTTTCCATCACGTTGATAATCGGAATCCGCGATTATTCATTTTATTTTTTCTCTCGATGGAAACCGTGGATACGACCCAGTGTTTATTAAGATTGACGCTTCGTTTGATCTTTCTCGGGTTAATTTTGAAGATTTTTCGGGCTAATTTCGAGGATGTGGAATTTGCATAACGAAAATTTAGCGAGATCGAACGGGCGTCAGTTTGAGAGAACAGAAAGAAATTTCTGAGACATTTCATATTACAAGAGGGAGATTGTCGAAATTACCGCAGCCCGCGTTTTCGTTAACGTTATCGATTGCACAAGAGAACGAGCTGTATGAGCTGCAGCCGCCGACGACCCTATTTCCAGAGGAGGCGGAAAACACGGTTCACAGTAAAACAAACAAGAGCCATCCTCGAATCTCCAAAATGTCCCCATTTATAAAAGTTTCATTTGATTTATCTCGCGTCCCCTTTGAACTTGCCTGCAAGTTTCATCTGACCCACTTTTTCTTCAAAAGTGGCTTGGATGTTGACACGCAGGGAGTAATTTCAAATATTCTATTAAATGTGAAAAATTTTCCACGGAAAATTCTTCGTGGTTCAATTCGACCCATTAAACGACCAGGCGACGAATATTATTACGAATAAATAAATTTATCTGAATTTCTCAAAATAGCAAGATAGCAGGCAGAGGAAATAAAGAACGACGAAAAAAAGAACATTGACCGAAATGTTGTCGAGTTATATTTTCCAAGTGACAAATATTTCAAAGTTCGTAAGAATTATCGAACGAAACTACGTGTTATTATTATTATTCTGATCGTTGCCACTTAGCAAGTTTAGTTAGTGTGTGTCGAGTGTACTTTCTGCTGGAAAAATAGGGGAAAAGGAATATATCAGCGAACGTCTACCAAGGAATATGTTTTATCGACCTCTGGTTATCGTCGCGAGCGTTTCGAAAACTCGTTTCCACGTCGGCGGCCCGGCTCTTTATTATGTTTTAAAGTCACGAAACGAAGGGTTAACGACGAAGGAACAATGTTTCTGAGTGGCGTGCAATTTTTATTGCGCTGTATTATTTATGATTGTGATCGATCGGGACGGCAGCCCACCATCGTCGTTTCGGCCGTTTGACGAGCAAACTATAGAACACGATGGGATGTTTCGGTGTAACCGCGTTTCCAGGACTGCATCATCTGTATCGTTATCTTTTCCCTCTTTACCTCGTCGTTCGGACGCCAGAACGCGTTTCTGTTCCATTTTTTTTTCTTCTTTGTTCAGTTTTACTTTTAATATCATATCACTGCACGCCGCTACTCGCTTACTCGATTCGTCGACTATTATCTCTGTTTTTCACCATGTCAGTCTGTTTTCCTCCGACGCGACATTGAATCTCCTGTATACGGTTGGTAAAAATGTGATTAAAAAAAAGTGCAGCGTATCAGATTCAAAAAATAAGCGACGAGTATAGGAAATAATTTTTCATCAACGTAACGAATCCATGAATTTTTGGAGTGATAAAACGTAAACTTTCGCGAAACTATTTGGCGACATTGCCTTTTAAAGAATCCGCCTGGGAAATTGTTTTGAAAATATTTTACAGCGTTTTCACTTTTTTTTTAATTCGTTTCGGTGAAATATATATTTAAATCGGAATTATAAATTGAAATCTGCTTGATGGATACATTCAACAAACGTTTAATAAAACGCTTTTGTTTAATATTTACATTAATATTTTTATCTCGCGTTTCCACCAATCAGAAAATTTTCTGCGGAAACGGCCATTTAAAGGTGCAATAAATAAGCGTACTATTCATTTCAAAAAGTTACGATACCATTGGTTCCTCAAGGAAAGATGATATATATATATATTATATATCACAAAAGGGAGTTTCAGCGAACTTTGAGACATCGAAGGAAGAATTGTGTTGCCATCTTTTCAGTTTTCAAGGAAACCTGGAACTCTGTTCACCCCGCGCAAGAAATTTAAAGCGTCAAGCATGTACACGTGTACTCTTCGTAATTCGTTTCGAAAAATTCAATTTCGATGAAAAGACAAAATGATTATTGTCAGATTTGGAGAAATTGTGAGCTCATATGCCGAGTAATCTCGGTTATGATTATTCCTGTTCCCTCCCATTTCGTTGGAAGAAAGTTCTCTCGGTCGAACGTCACCGATAATATCTCGTAGCTTCTCGCACAATCTTTTCTACATCGTTGCATCCCGCTTCCTCCTCGCTCATCCTATTTTCTTTCCTTCGTTCTCGCTCTTCGGTTTCCGTTTCTATCCTCCGACTTTTCCATTTCCTCGTCCGTCAGTTCCTCCATTTCCTTCTCTGATCCCTCTTCCTTTTTTCTTTCCCTTTTTCACTCTCTCTCTCTTTTTTTTTCTCTTCTTTTATATTAATCCTCGTTTCCTTCCAATTCGCTGTTTTACTTTCCATCCTTTCCCCCGGCGAAATGCACGGCATGACATTTCTTTCGTGTTTCCGAGTTTCCCCCCCCCCTCCCCCCTCCCCCAACGTTACATTCACCTGCTTTTATCTTTTCATGCACTCGCCGACTGCTGCTTTTCCTTTTCAACCTCTGTCTTCCGTGCTTTCCTCCTTCGTACGCTCTTCCTATTGGATCTGCCTTCTGTCCTTTTAAATCCCCTTTGCCAGCCTCTTCCCTTTGCTTCTTTATTTCCTTTGCATCTAATTTTCCCTCGAAAATGCTCTCCACGAGCATTGTCCACGACGATAAAGCAACCTTGCGTCATAACCTTGGCATTTTGTTTCGAGATTGATTAATCAATTCAATCTCTACACCACATTACGTTCCCAAGTTTCTCAGTTTTTGTCGAATTCGCTTTATTTTCATCACTCGGAAATGGGAGACGCAAAGTATCAATGAAATCAGTACAGTACGACGTGAAAAGAAAATGAAGTCGAAATCAGCCATTATCTCATCCACCACTGTCCTTTGCCTCTTACACGAACACTGTCCGCGGTTTCAGTTTGTAATTGTGTAATTCATGGGAGACTCATACTTTACCACGCGCCACTTCCATTAAAGACACTCCAACTTCCATTATTCATTTTCAACAAAAACATTTTCACTTGCGTTTCTCATCTCTTTCCGCCCGTGTTCGTTCTGCTTGCGGAATACATTAGGCTAATGTACTACTGGCACGTTTTTTATAACAATAACCGGCGTTCTTTCAGATATATTTTTTTCCTCGCCAGTCTCTTTCCCCTTTCTTTCTTTCGAATAATTTCAATTTGCTTCCATCGCCGATACAATGTATTTCAGATTCATCAGAGTCGGCAGTAGTAACGTTCTAAAGTTCAAATCGATTTTTTCTTTTTTTTTTTTTTTATTAATTCTTCCCCTGATTTCTCTGTACATTCGGGTTCTACTAATACTGTCAGAACTTTGGTCTTTAGTTAACTGGTTACTATGAAGGGCAGCGGTCCTCTCTGCGGTCAGCTCACGGTCAATTTCTCCAGAATTGTTTCCGGCGGCTGTCTGACTATCGTAGACGATTCTAAGGGTTCCCTTCCTGTCCCTTCACCGTTTCAGACGGTCTCTGTTTCGGATCAGTAGTAGAAAATAGTCCGCCGTTTCTCAATCGAACGGAAGATATAGTCATAGAGACTGTCAGTTTCAAGAGATGCAGAAGAATGCAGTTTCAGTGTTGCAAAACTGGGAGATAACGTCAGGAAGAATTAAAATTTCGCTTAATCGAATTAAAACCGAACGGAAACTTCGACAATTCTTTAGATTCGATACGAATCCGTTTCGTTAGTGTTAACTTCGCTTTCGAAAGAAAAGCTAACTACTTTCCCAATTCGAGTACATTTTAAATTCTCCTTACGAAGTTCGCCTCGAAGCTGAGAGATTTTCAAGATCAAGACACGTCGAATATCGAGAGTTTCGTTGCAATGTGGAAAGCGTCCAACGCTTCTCGAACGAGTTGCACGATCGCAACGAGCGGCATTCGCAACGAGACAAACGTCACCGCGTCGACGAATAATTACACAGCTGGTGTCACGGCGAGAACACGTCGAAGAACCAGATCTTCTGAAATCGATTCGGCCGTGCTCGGCAATTTCCCCGGAAATTGTGAGAGACGAATGATTGAAATGGTCGATAAACGGACGAAGACGGAGAGGAGGAAACACAGACGAAGATCGTGCTTATTGATTCGCCCTGGCTCCTTTCATCCCCCTCCTCCACCGCCATCCTTCGGAATCGCCTTTCCCTCTTCCGATCTTGTCAAGGGGGAAGAACAATAAACGCTTTCACCTGAGCCGGCCACGTTATCCCGCAGCCGGGGGAAGAAGTCCGTGTTTCGAGTCAGGCTTAAAGTGGCTCGGTGCCTCGGCTTTCCTAAGGACGCAATTCCCTTGGATCCAGATTACGCCCGGGATATCCTCTCTGTCTGTCTGTCTCTCTCTCTCTCTCTCTCTCTCTCCCTCTCTTTCTTTCTTTATGTAGTTGCGGCGAGGTAAACGAAAAGGAAGCGATCCAGCTAGTGCAAACGACACCCGGCCACGTCAACAACGACGCTTGCTCCAGATTGCCGGCAGAAGCCTCGCGAACCCCTCTGTGCATCCGGCGTCAAATTTTGCACCCAGTTTTGACTTTCCGCCGCCGCGAGAACGTGATCCGCCGAGTGTTGTATTCGCTCGGTCAGAAAGCTCGAGTTGCTGGCTGCTTTTTTTTTTTTTTTTTTTCGATAAAAAAGAGAGAAAAAGAAAGAAGAATACCAGTTCACCGATACTTCGTCACTCGACATCTTTCGATATCTTAAGAATTAGTGTCTCTTGAAGCGGTATTCTGGTAACCCGGCTTGAAGAGGTCGACTTTTTGGGGATTTTTTTTTTCCCCAAGGAAACCGCGACACAGTTTTCGCACGCAGATTTATTCATGCTCGAAGAGTATTTACAATTTCTTTTTTTAACGAAATTCATGAAACTCGTGGAAGTTATATATAGCCTTTTTTTAAAAACATTCGGTTCGAGTGGCCATCTGGTTATTTGAAACTAAAAAATCAAAATGCACGTTAACTAGTATAAACATGGCTGTCGCATGAACCACGGAAGCAGCGAAATTTCAGAAATTAAATTTTGAAGTTCAATTTTTCAAATATCAATTTTTCTTGTGCTTTCCTTTTTGTTTTTTTCGTGGTGTATTCGTTCGTGATTACTTCAGCGTTTGCATTCTATCGAATTGAATTAGCCGAAAGTAGGAATACGGATTAATACGGTACAGGAAAATTCCACCCGTGCTTAACCGCCTCAGTCTCAAAACGATCGTAAAGTTTCGCCTCAGATAATTTTGCCAACAGATTGTGGGATTTCTGTAACTGCTATTATAACTCGAATTCTACATTCTGCGTATTATATTCTATGAATTAAGCGTGTGCACGTGTAGGATTACAGTCGATTAAATATTCCACTTCCGTGGAACCGGCGCGGAACCATTCTACTTACGTGGAATTCTACTTCGTGCGTCTACTTTGTAGTTTCTCAACAAGAGGATCACATTACGAATGTCATCAATTACAAATTATCGAAAGAATAATTGAAACTAGGTGAAATCGTCACTTTCTCTTTCTTCTTTCTACAAATTATTTCTTTCTACAAATTTCAGCGCGAGCAAACAGCTATCCAAAGTCCTTTAATTGATAAAGATGGCTCCTTCGAGAAGCTTCTTCCGTCCCGTTTCGACGCGATAACCTGCAACGAAGTTTATTAATAGTGAATTGGCTGTGAACAGCGCCGTTTCGCATCGGTGAAAACCGAAATTTGTCGGTCGCGCGTTTTGCCAGAGCATAAAGATATCACCAGCCAGCGTAAACGCAACGTGTTGTACTAGCATTAGCGCAACGACTAGCTGATATAACGTACTGCCAAATTATCGCTAATAAAACTAAACGTTGAATCGATGTAGAGATGCTCTTTCACCGATCAATTCCCACATTTATCATCGGGAAAGGTGTTTCGACGAAATGACAGTGGAAATGGAGCAACGGAACTGTGAATGCGAAATGATGATAAATCACTGTGATCGCAACAGGAAGAAGGGGAATGTTAAGTCCTTCTACACGATGTTTAAACGTATAATTAATAGCTACGACAGAAAGATCGCTTGTTTTGTTATTAATAAAGTAGCAATGTTTGAGCGAGAAAGTATTTTTATTGTCATTGTGAAAATTTTTGTTTCTGTCGGAAGAGAGGTTTAAAGCAAACTAAAAAACGAAGCTGGTGAAGTCTAGAGCGAAACAGCGCAGAGAGAGGAAACGATTATTGGACGTTTTATGAATTGAATATGTTTGAGGAATAACTGAAATTAACGTTCTTCGCCAGTTTGTTCGAAAATTTATGCCCGCGCGACTTTTACTCTTTTTCCACGTTCCATTAATTTATCTCACGGCGCGCAATAACATTAGCGTGCGCAATTTACGGTCCGCGTACTCGCTGTTTTTGAAACGAGAAACTTTCGGCATTTTGCTTTCCTTTTCGTGTAAAATGTAACAGCGCGATACTTCTTTGTTTCCAAACCCCGTTGCCGCATTTTATTATTCTTTTTTCACATTTCAGACGTCGCGTCTCCTCTCAGTTCCGTTTTTTCCTTTTCCTTTCTCGCGCACTCTTCACTACTTCTCGCATTCTCGCGTCTCTTCGTTCCTTTACCAGATTTTTGATCTACCGTAGATTTTTCTCCGCGCCCCTCTTCTTCTTTCCTTAAATATTTCACGTTCCTTTGAAGCCCCCTCTTTCACGTTGTTTTCTAATACTTACACTGAAATACTTTCATCGTTTCTTCCTCGCTTTTCGAGATTCCTTTTGCTCGAACAGCTCGAATTTTATGTATGCACTTGCAACGTTTCGTCAAAGATTCTCTACGCTCGTATCGCAAATTCGAGACGTTCACCGGTGTTGGATAATTTAATTGAAAATGATTCTAAATTGACAACTGCTTTGGAGTGACAAATAATGAACTGAGTCAACATCTTCTTTTTTTTTTTTATCTAAATAATCTTTCTATCCGTTTAACAACTTGAACCATCGTCCTAAAGTGTATCACACAGAGTAAAGTGTATCAAGCGGGGTTAAACATTTCAAGTCCGAGCCGATAAATAACCGATTCCAATAAATTTCAACGATAACAAAAGCATCGAGCGAACAATGTCGCAAAGTTTTTCTACGGCATTTGTATTTATCAGTCGTGTCGAAGTGTAAATAAGAACTTGCTTCCACCGAACCAACTGCAACTGCAACTGCAACTGCAACTGCAACTTGCCTTCGAGTTCCAACTGCATTTTAAATCCCGATACATTACGAACGTTACCGGCGATCTACTCAGCAACTGCAAAATGTCTGCCTCTGTTTAGCAAAGGTGGCCCTCAATCTCGTAAACGCCATTCTGCTACATTCTTCTTCGAATTTTACGGCGATCAAGCGCCCGTTCTAGCGTAACTGTGTTCCCCACGATCATCGTCAGAGAAAATTTATTTACTTTTTTCTCTTGTTCTCTATCTTTTCCATCGAAATGTTAGCCCTTCGTCTCGTATTTGCCGCAATACGAGACAATAGCGTTATCGAAAATATCAGAATTGTTTCTCTATAGGTACCGTTTTTTGTCGATAAAACACATCACAAAAGGGAAATAGATTACTCTGTAAAGGCTGTTCTGTTTTTTTTTCCTTTTTTTTTTTTTTTTTTTTTTTGGAAACTGGA